GCATCAAAATTTATCCGTTCTTGCATCTTGTTAGGCTGACAAAGTCACAAGGAACACAAAATCACATACTTGAGAAGTATAAATACATTTAATTTAATGATTGAATGCCTAACATTTTATTCTAGAGTATTGGTGATTTATTCTTTTCTATATACTCTAGAGTATTGGTGATTTATACTCTAGAAAACATTTTGAAAACACTAATTTGGGGGTTGGCTAAACAACAATTTCCTGAAAGATTTTCTGGAAAATGAAAACAGTAATTTCATAGACATAGTTAAAATCTACGCAGGATGTATATATCTTTAGTTCTTATACAATAATCTCATGAAATGAAACCAATGAATTGTTGGTCTTTTTTAAGCTCTATCATTTGCCTATTTTATTCTTCTTTATATACTAAAAACTCAGAATTATATTATAGGTGATTAATACTCTAGAAAACATTTTCAATTTCCCAACATAACTAACTTAGTAACAATACAATGACACATATATATAATCATAAACATATCATTCTAAAATGAGACCTATATATATCATCAGAAACTTATCATTCTAAAATGACACCTATATTCTAAAATGTATAATCATAACTAACTTGTCTTCATAATCTGTATTTCTGGCCAATTTTTCAGTTTTTTTTGCTTACTCTAAAGTTTTTTGGGATCTTAAGAACTTTGGAGTATACCATTCAATATGCAGTTGAATAACAAGATGCCAAATAACAAGAAACTTACTCTAAACTGAAGCCAAATGACACCTGAAGAAGTACTCCATAACCCTATACTTCATATGCAGTTGAATAACAAGATGCATGAGCATGGTAAATTGTGTGTAAGAAATATACCTAACTCTTGTGCACTTTTACTCTTCTTCAGCTCTACTGGTCAATCACCGGCTCCAAGCTAAGCTTTGATAAATCTGAAAAAATAAATAAACCAAATATAGATATCATAAATACCAATGAAGTATTATAAATTTCAAAATTTACAAGGAATAAAGGGAGGATATACTACCTAAGTCAAATTTGTCAATTTCTGCAGTTGCATACTCAATTTCAGAATCAACTATATCTTCCTTTTCAACTCTTAGCCAATCTTGTGCACAAATTAAAGCTTGCACAACTCTAGGTGATAAAGAACTTCTGTAACTGTCTACAACACGACCCCCCCGTACTAAATGCTGATTCTGAAGCAACGGTGGATATAGGCATTGCCAATACATCACGAGCAATGCTCGAAAGAATGGGAAACCTATGAGAATTTCGTTTCCACCATATAAGAATATCAAACTTGTCATCACCTTCATCAAGCCCTTCACTCAAGTATCTATCCAACTCTGTTCTTTGATTCACACTTTCCATTGCAGCCATATATTTTTTAAAGTCACTGTCAACACCCTTTTCTTTCCCATTAAGTGTATCCTGATATTCTAAGGGTAAATCATCTCTGCCAGTTTGACTTGATTGAGAATTTTCAATTAGTGAAGGGAGAGATAAAGGATCTTGCAGCTTTTTGTATTCATTAAACAAATCTTGCAAAGCTTGTTTCAGTTTTTCAGTCAAAGAAGACGCTTGAGGAGCAGTATACATCCTTTTAAAACAAAACTCTGCATATACCAACTTACGCCTAGGATCAAGCACAGTTGCAACATACAACAACACATTCATTTTCTCAACATCACCCCAATACTTGTCAAATTTATCCTTCATTTGTGCAGCCATTAAGCTGAATTTTTTATCAGTGCTCTTAACCCATCCACAGACGGTAGAATAAACTTCACATATTTCAGTAAAATAACAATTTGAGGTGACAAACAAAGATCCAGAAACTTTCACGGTAAGATCATAAAACTGGTGTAAAAACTTTGATAACCTTCTAACATTTTCCCAGTCATCATGGTCGGGAATGCCTTCACTATTACTAAGATCATGATTGTAATGGGGATCAAAATCCTCAAAACTATCAAAGGCCCTCTCAAGTTTCTGTGCTGCATTCAACATTAGATATGTAGAGTTCCACCCAGTGCAAACATCGAGGCATAACAGTGCCTTAGACTCTATCTTCTCTAAAACAACACACTCTTTAAACTTTTCTAGCCTTGCAGGTGACTGCCTCACATACCTCACTGCCCCTCTAACACGAGAAACCGATTCATCTAGACTTTTCAATCCATCTTTGACAGCTAAATTAACTATGTGAGCTACACACCTCATGTGAAGAAACTTTCCATCCAAGATTGACCTACCTGAATTGTTAAACTTGTTTCTCAAGTAGCCAATGGCAACATCATTTGAGCTCGCATTATCCACAGTAATTGTGAACACATTATCTATTCCCCAATCACGCAAGCATTTCTCAACAGCCTTACCAATATCTTCACCCTTATGACTGGATATTGGACAAAAATTAATTATTCTCTTATGAAATTTCCAGTCACTATCAATGTAGTGAAGAGTGAGACACATATAATTTATTTTTTGCAAAGAAGTCCATGTGTCAGTGGTAAGTGAAACTCTATGACAAGTGGTCTGGAGTAATTTGGACAGTTTTTTTTTTCTCCTCTAAATAAATATTGAAACAGTCCCTAGCAATAGTCCAACGCGATGGAACACGAAACCTAGGACAAGCAGCATGCATCAATCTTCTAAACCCCCTTGCTTCGACAAACTTAAACGATAACTCATCGATAATGAACATTTCTGACATAGCCCTTCTAATCTTAGTTTCATCATATTTACCATAACTCAAAGAACCCTCACCATTCACTTGGGGGACAACTAATTCTGTTTGAGAGGGGTCAGACTTAAGTCCTGCACAACTTCTTATGTGAGCTGCCAAGGAACTTGTTTCATTTCCTTTAGAGTCAGCAAATAGCTCTTTTGAACAATGAGTACATCTAGCTTTTTTATGGCCCTCGTCACTTGTGAATTTGTCAAAGTGATTCCATACCTTAGACTTGACTCGTGTTGCTTTTCGTTTCTTTGGCGTTACTTTTTTAGCGGTTGAGTTTGTCGCATTTTTTGAAGCAGCTCCTACTCCTTGTGTTTGCTCATTTTGACTTGGTGGTTCCTCATCCATTGGCACAAACTCCATTGAGCCTGTTGATTCCATCTACAAATGATAAAATAGTGATATAGTTATATTTACAGAATATATTACTAATAGTTCTATAACGAATTACTACTCACTACTAACTACTCCATTCCAGAACTGTATAACTTTATAATTTCATCCACAATTTATAAGTATATAACCCATGATGACATAGTTGCATAATTACTTTCTTAAATAACTAATAATTCACATTAGTTATCAAAATAAATAGAAATGTTCCGATGTCCTAATAGCCTCAAACTTTAGGCGTTCTTATCAAATTTATTAAACTTTAATGTTCTAGTTATTAGTTAGAACAAAAACAGAATAAATCATCAAGAAATTTAAATAAAAAAAGGGCATAAATACAAATTTACAATGAGATTTGGCAGAATAAGACACACCTTTGTTGAAATGTTGATTCGTTCGCACCCTAGCTATTGTTGGTCAAGGTGCCGATTCTAGGAGCACGAACAAATTAAGTATTGATGAAACCTCATGTCCTTGAAGAAGCTAGTGAGCGAACGGGAAGACTTGATAGGTGGTGGTTAAAGATTTGAAGTTAATCCATATCGTATAGAAGAGAATCAAGAGATCGAAGATGAATTAGGTGATGGCGGCTGAGGGGGTTTTGAGTTTTGATTGTTCTGAATGCAGATTGTAGAGGGTTCGATTAGTTACTCTAGCTTTACTTAGGGTTCTAGTTTAGTAGTTTTTACTTTACGTATTAGACTATGGGCTAATTGGGTATGTGCTGAATGCAGAGTATATACGGAGTATTATTTATTTACTGTAGTTTATATATTTTGAACGGTTATCGGTCGGTAACCGATAAACCGATAAATGAAACCGCATAATAACCGAAAAACCGAATAACCGAAAATTTCCAACACTTCCAACCGATAACCGACCGATAACCGACTTTTTCGGTAGGTTCGGTCATCGGTTTGCGGTCGGTTCGGTTTTGGCGGTTATTTGCTCACCCCTACTTTAGAAGATATAAGATGAATTGAATTACATTAACTAGTCAAGGTATTACTTACATTACATTACTCATAAGTACCATATGAAGTTTTTTATTTTGGAATAATGTAACATATAAAGTTAAACCCTTAAATAGAAGTGTTGAAAAATCTAAAAATTACATAAATGATGTTATATGCTTCCATATTACAGGTTCAGTACAATTTACGAGCTGAGGTTTGCCCCCGATCATAAGTAAATTCTTCCATGTTAACAAACAGGTATACGTAGTATCATTAATTAGACTTAATACATAGAAACATAATGCACTAAAATCCTTGCTGAAAAGCAAAAGGCACTAAATAAATGGACTTAGGATGAATAAATTGATATCTACTTTCATTGTGACCTATTTTACGTCATCAATAATTTGTTTGTTTTTTTTTGCAAATCTTTCTAATCTTCTGTTAAGACCAACATCATTGAATTAGAATGAGATTCGAATATGTGACTTCCTCTTTGGGAGTGTAACAATGATGTAATCAGACCACAAGGTACTTGAATCGTGAATGAGATTACTAATAAGGATATTTATGCACTGCGATATACTCCCTTTGTCCCGAAATAAATATCCAACTTTCCTTTTCGGTCTATCCCAAAATAATTGTCTTGTTTTCCTTTTTGACAATAATATGTGGCTCATATCAATTCACCTTTTTCTACTCAAATTTTAACTACTTTTTTAACCTTTATCTTTTGAACCACTTTTTAAAAACTTTGAAAAGGAAAACAAGACATTTATTATGGGACAGAAGAGTAATAGCTAGTCAATATATGGCACTAATATGAAGGATCAGGTTTCATTTAAAGATTGAGATATAATAAGAAGTATAATAATATAAAATCTATTGTTAGATTTGAATTTCTTTCATCAGCCTAATAAGTAATAACAATACAAATATGGAATTGGACTCGACTCTCAAATAGTTTGATTGAGGATGTTTTCTTTTGGACTGTTTTCAGTCCCAGACCAGACTTAAACAGACCAGACCAGACCAGACTAGATTTAAACAGACCAGACTAGACTTCCGTAGATATAAAATACAAAGAGACCAGACGTTTACCAGACTAGTTCAGACCAGATCAGACCAGACCAGACTTAAACAGACCAGAACAGACCAGACCAGACCAGACCAGCAAATTTCAGTCCAAAAGAAAACATCCTGAATATAACCGAATCTCCAATGGGTTAATCAAACCGCTACCCAGGATCGGCAAACCGGACAGGTCCGGTTTTTCCTCAGCCACTTAACTATGCATTTATTGTGAAACCTATGCGAACAAAACGGCCCTAACGGCGTGATAACGTCCCCTTCCTTGTATTTTCATCCAAACAGACGGAACAAACCTCCGCATGCTCCTCGTTCTTCTCTCCGTTAAACTTCTCCGTCTTCATACCGCAAACCTCACTTTCCGACAGCCCCGACGCGTCTCCGCCGCCGGGTGAAATGTCCCTCTCTCCCGCACCGCCCGTGTCCAGCACCAACTCAACACCACTTAATATCCAGTCAACAAGGGCCTCTATTTCCGAAAGGGAAACAATCATATTCGGTGGCGGAGGAGACGGCTTTTGCGGCGTCGCATACGGCGGAGGAAAAAGAACCCGTTCGGGGATCAAGACGGTGGCTTCCAGGACGGCGGACATGGACAGCCCGTAACGCAAATGCCCTCCGACGCAAACCTTGTCAAGAGCAACTGTCACTATCTGGCGAGAGATCGCCCGGGCGGAGGCGGGGTTGACGGTGAAGTAGGCGGCGAGCACCCCGGAAATCACAGACAAAACGCCGTCCGTGGAGGAGAAAAGGAGTCGGGGATCGACTTCAACGGTGGAGGAAAAATCCCTCAGCGTAAGGGTCTGGAGATGCCCATAAGGCAAAACCAGCAAGGCTTTAGTGATCATTCTCATACGCAATTCTCCGTGGGTGGGATCGTCTGTGACAGCGTGCCTTCTATGTTCCCGCTAATTCTTGGCTCCGCCATAGCTGATGAGTGATTGATCTTGCACAGAATATACGTAGTAGTATAGTTTACGTAGTACGAAGTAAGAGACAATAAATGTAACGTATTTCAAGCATGTATATATACTCCGTACATACATACGTTAGGGTTTACGTACTTTTGGTGTCCACTGTCCAAAAGATATACGGAGTATGAGTTTCTTGGCGTCCAAATAACAAATTTTGAAGTTCTTGATTTTAGAGTACGTGATTTATTTATAAATTTCTATTACTATGGTATGTTTTTGAGCAACTATTGAATTTCTTGATGACCAATGGTATATTTGTATGTCATCTTTGAATATTAGTCAATGATCCAATGCCATTAAATTTTGACTAATGATAGATTTAGGGAGCGTACATTGCGGTTGCTTCTACTTTAAAAAAATGATTCCTTAAAGTGATTTGGGAGAAAGTGTTTTAGAGTAAAAGTTGATAATGTTTGGAAGAAGAAAAAAGTGTTTCTGACACAGTAATAAAAGTTGATAATGTTTGATAAAATAAATGTTTTTGTGTAATTGAAAAAAGTGAAAAACAGTTTAAAACATCCTTACATCTACTTCTAGCTTTTAGCTTTTTAAGTGTTTAATTTAAGCATCATTTGAAAACAATTTTTTCAACTTTTTTAAAACCAAACTGAAAAATATTTTTTTTAAGGTTTAGCAAACACCTCCTTATAATTTAGGGAGAATTTTCCATAAGGACTAAATGAAACTTTAATTTCCAAAATAAGTTTTAAGTACTGAAGTACGTGTTAGAAACGTTGTGAATATCGAGAATATACAAAAGGTTTGATATGCGATGTACATAAATGTTGTCAACTTCAAATTGTTTAAAATTACCTGCAATCATGTATTCATGTTTGCACTTTGCAGTGGATCGCATGGTATAAAATTATTGACAAATATTCTGCATTTAATGGTCAAAATGGTCATCCAAAATGGTTCAACGAAATATCGATTTGCCTAATAAGTACTTCGTATTTGAAAAAATTCTAGCTAATAATAAGCTAATGTTAAAGTGAAGTATTTTATTTCAAAAAATTATGGCTAATAAGCTATGGTGGAAATGAAGTATGTCCTATTTTATAAGATATCTTTAATATTCACTTCATCAACATAAATCACTCTTTTTTACGGTAACACAAATCACTCTTAATCTCTTACTTTATACATCAAAATTTTATGAAATTTGAATTATTTTTTGCAGATTTTGTCGCAGGTTTAATGTAGTTTTTGAATATGTAATTTTTTTTCTAAAAATAATTTGAGTGCAAACAGGAATCTGTTTGCTTTATCGTTGGTCAAAAATCATAAACCGAAAAGTATCTTATAATTTGGGACGGAGGGAGTATTTGATTTTAAAAAATTGTGGTTAACAAGCTATGGTTAATAAGCAGAAACAGAAAAAATTACAGATGAACATATATAGTATAATAAAATCGTAATGATGACTGAGACTGAGAAATCACTGATTCGAAATCCGTAAAAGAGTTTCAGGCATGTTTACCAGGAGTTTCAGGCATGTTTATCACAAGTTTCCACAACCTCAATTTCGCCTCTGGTCCAGTGGAGGATCTAGAGGGTGTCTGGGCCATGCCTGGGGCATGTACAACTCGATATCATTGCTTCCGACTGCGAAATCTAGTACTCCGTATTAGTACTTATGCTAAAATACGCCCTACATCCAAAATCTAGGGATGAAGATAGTTTCATCTAGCTAAGAACATACCCTATATAATAATTGTAGTGAGAAATGTAATCGATCACGGAGTTGTGATAGAGAGATTCTATGCAATTAGACATATTGTTGGCATGATCACTAAACCTTCTTTGAAAAGTGACATTGATGACTTTTTGCTACGTATGAATAATGTTTGTTTAAATTTAGATGTCAAAAATTATGATATGACAAAGCTTCTAATGTTTGGGTAAACTTAATTAATGGATTGCGGATTTTTATCTTAAATAAAAATGCATACATGAAAAATGTATCAATTTGCGATAAATTAATATAATGTTGGACCGATTCACCTTTTTATTTTCCGTATTGCAATAAGATAAGAGTTCGATATAAAAAATCAAATTATTAAATAAAGTTGTATTGAAGGATGAAATATATAGCAAATTTGAATCATACTTCATTTATAACACGGTAGTATTATATTTCAAAAAAATAAAAATAACTTTTGTGGCACAATGTGTAGCGTTCAACTTGATATTAATTCACCGGACCATTTTGTATTATAAAAAGTAACGGGAATTCTAATCCAAAATCAGAAACGAGGCAAAGACAGTTGATTTCTAATTCAAATTATGTGTTTCTTTCAGAAAGCCAAAGTTTATTGTTAAGGATGTTTTTACTTGGACTGTAATTTGTTGATCTGGTCTGTTTAAGTCTAGTCTGGTATGGTCTGTTTAAGTGTGAACTGGTCTAGTCTGGTCTGGTAATGTCTGGTCTCTGTGTATTTTATAACTACGTACAGAAGTCAAGTCTAGTCTGGTTTGTTTAAGTCCGGACTGGTCTTCTCTGTTTAAGTTTGGTCTAGTCTGATCTATTTAAGTCTGCTATGATCTAGTATTCTAGTCTGGGACTGAAAACAGTCCAAGTAAAAACATCCTTAAAACTGTTTAATGAGTTCAGAACAAGACATAATCCATAAATGTATATCGCTTGAAATTGGTATCGAATAGACATCTCAGGGCCGTAGATGAGGGCGTGCAAAGCGTGCCTTTGCACAGGGCCTCCAAAAATATAAGGCTCATTATTTTGTAAAATCTATATAGTGTATATAGGGTAGTTGTTTTTGAAAATAGTTGATTAATTTATTTGCCCGAATGATCCAACTATTCAGGTTATCCAATCAAAGGTTAAAAATTCACTTTTTCTTATCCCATTTTCATTCATTCATTTCCGATTTTAGATTTTTTTACTAGTTTTATTTGTTCAAGTTTGAGAAAGTGATCATTTTTCAATCTCGCATTTGTTTGTAGTTTTTTTGGGTTTTCTTAAGGTTGATTTTTGGTATTGTATTAATTTAATATAAGGCCTATTTTTCGTGCCTTGCACCGGATCTCCTAATACATTGAGCCGGCCCTGAGACATCTCATACACGACTACACTTAATAGACAACTCATACACCCGACTCGGCCCAGCTCCACTTGACCCATTCATGCAGTAGTGCCTGTGCTTGACAAATTTTCTGGGTCCCTAACTACCCTGATCCCTTGGTAGAAAAAAAGAGATAGATTGATTTTGAAGATAATGATGGTTTAGTTTGTTATATTTAATACATGAATACAAAATTGCCAAAATTTCTTGTTTAATCGTAAATGATTCAATAAACTTATGTCTTCTTGGGTAGAATTTAGATCTAGTTATCTTAACTACCGTCTATATTGAACTCTTTTAATAAATGCTATACAAAATCTACGGAGTATAAAATTACATATATAGAGATGAATGAGATGATGTTTTAATTCCATCTAAGTCATTTGGTACATTTTAAGGTGCTTGACTTTTCCATGTTAACTACGAAGTACTACGTACTACATATTTTTTGTTAACCATATATCAGTGATTATATTGTATTTGATATTCAGAGAACAAATCAAAAGTTGTTACTTATTTGCAAATACGTAATTTGAAAATGAATAAAAAATCTGTACAAAATCAGAAATTTAAAAAGAAAGATGACTCGGGAACTAATTCAAACGAATGTTCTAATTCCCTCTATACAATATTCGAGGATTTGATTATAACCACATTGAAATTAGGAAGTAGAATATAATTATGCAATAATAGTAAATGACATATTCGATTCAATTCAGATGTAATTAAAACTTCTAAACGATAAAAGTCTGCTGCTAATTGATGAATTAAACCACAATTGTAGATCGGCAAACGGGACATGTCGGCTTTCTCTTCAGCCACTTAACGATGCATTTATTGTGAAACCTATGCGAACAAGACGGCCCTAACGGCGTGATGACGTCGCCTTCCTTGTGCTCACCCAGACACACGGAACAGACTTCCGCATCCGCCTCACTCTTATTCTCTCCGTTAAATCTCTTCCTCTTTAAACGGGAAGCCTCTGTTTTCGACAACCCTGGCCCCACCGATATTTCCGGAACGGAAAGCGGCAGCGGCGGAGAACGGAGGGTGCATTTCAAGTTGATTGACAAGGACAATCCGAAACGCGCTTCACCGCCGATGCATATCAAGCGGCGAGCGAACCTCACTATCTCGCGGGCGATCTTGCGGGCGGAGGCGGGGATTGCGGCGAAGGTGGTGGCGAGCACGACGGAAATCTCGGACGAAGCGTTCCCCGGGGAGGAGTAAAAGAGTTGAGGGTTGACGTTGAAGGCGTCAGAGACGTCCCTCACCGTGACGGGCTGTGAACCCGTCATGGCTTTCGTGATCATTCTAATACGCAATTCTCCATGCGTTGGATCTTCCATAATAGTGAGCCCCATATGTCTGATTCTTGGCGCCGCCATAGCTGATGATTGCTCGAATGAGTGTTGCAAAGAATTGTATGAGATAATTATAATTGATGTAATGAAACTACTCTCATGAGTCAATACTTATACACACACGGATATAAATACACTTTTAAGTTAAAGATAATACTATCCTCCGTTTCTTTTTAATCGCAACATGTTGAATTTTACACTATTCACGTGTTCTACTTTGACTACATTTTACGGTATTGTTTTACGAAAATTATTTTTTATAAAAAATATTGTTCAATTCATCTCATTACAAATTGTCAAAATTTGATTTTTAATTATTTTTAACTAATAGAGATTAAGATATAATTACGGTCAAAGATGTGCGTTGGCAAGTGTGAAATGTTGACCGTTGCAACTAAAAAAGAACGGAGGAAGTATATACGGAGTATACCCCAGTTGATCGAAATCGGATGGCTTTCTTGCTGTCCAATTTATAATAATTTTTTAAATTATATATATTCTTGTTTAAAGTTTTAAGTCATTTGAATTTGTATTTTGTAATAATGCCCGTATGCTTTTATTTCTAAAACACTAATTACTACTCCGTATATATCTTTAAGGAAAAGGGGCAAATAAGGCCACGTAATAACCAAAAAAAGGTCAAATAAAGCCTTATTTATGAGGTTCTGTCCGGCCTTCGCCATTTGGGGTGTTTCTCGGTGGAATTTTTTGATGAATTTTATTTACCATCTTATTCATTAAGTCTAGTTTACTCATACCAAATTTCAGCTAACAATTCAATCGGAAAGGTAGTCAAATGAATTCTTGAAAATAACTGCGCTTTTAACTGCGCAATTATCTTCAAAAATTCATTTGAATGCCTTTCCAATTGAAGATTTAGCTGAAATTTGATATGAGTAAACTAGACTTACTGAATAAGATGCTCAAAAAATTTCATCAAAAAATTCCACCGGGAACCACCTCAAATGGCGATGGCCGGACAGAGCCTCTTAAATAAGGCCTTATTTGACCTTTTTTTGTTAGTACGTAGCCTTATTTGCCCCTTTTCTCATGTAGTACTAGTAATGTATGTTAAAATGTTATAATTGTGCCCAATGTAGAGAAAATAAATAATCACACATTTCATTTCATTTCATTTTTATTTACCTCAGTGCCGCAAAGGCTCCTACCTACGGATGTACGCAATCTTACCCCTTTACTAAAGCACATGTAAATTAAAATGTTATACGTGGATATTGATTTATTTTTATAGAATGTGTAGAATAAAGAGTAATACGGCATGGCGTTAAAGGTAACATGCTAGTAATTTGGCAACATCAATGTACAACGGTGCAACAACATTTATATAATAGCATTGTGTTAAGTTGGCAATTGGCCGTTGGATTTTGGACGTTGGCTGATCCTGTTGGCTGATTGGTGATAGCGGATTTTGTTCGCTGTTTTGATTAGCTGATAGTGTTAGCAGTTTAAATAGTGTTTGGTTAAACGGTTGTTTACAATCGGTAGATAACTTGTTAAATTACTTTTAAGGACATCAATTAACATTTTTTGTTAATATTATTAGTATGTTAATATTATTAGTACAACTACTTAAAAATTAATTTATGATCTAAAAAATAAAAAATAATGAAAACAAGTAATAATTATTTTAACATCTTTTGCTGAATTTGTTATGGCACGTTGCACCAAGAATTATGGAGTGTTTCCACTCCAAATTTTATTACAGTAATTTATATGCATTAGCTAGAGGAAATTACATGAGTATATAATCATTTATGCTTTTGTCTTTATATTCTCAAGTTGGACTTAGGTTCAAGGGACAACCTTTGTGTGTAATCACTAATCACCCAACATTCAATGCTCTGCTTTTTTATTCTAAGTTGAAGAGGATAATGTAACGCACGAAGAAGAGTACACGGCTTGGGCAGAATAGGAATATAGGCGTAATATTCAAACAGACGGTAGCTAAACGTTGGATTTATCAGCCTTTTGGATTTTGGCTGTTTTGGATAACAAGCCAAGTGAAAAAGTCAATTTACCAAACACTTCAATTAGCTGTTTATCTGGTCAAAAAGCGAAATACTAGTCAAATCAGCCAAAATATGGCTGATAGGCCGCTAACCAAACACCCCCGAAGTATTAACAAACAGCACATACAAAATTTAAGTATACTAAGTTGGTATTACAACATCACTAAGAGGACTGGTTTTAATACTCCCTTCGTTCTCTAATACTTGTTCCTCTTTCCATTTTGGGTTGTTTTCTAATATTTGTCCCTCTTTCCATTTTTAGAAAGTTTTTTCAATAAATATACTAATTTAGCTTCATTCTCTTTCCTACTTTTTCATTCTTTTTCCTATTTTTTCATTTAAACACAACCTACTACACCTTTTACACTACCCCTATTATTTTCCTCTTAAAACTTGTGCCAAACCCTATAGGGCCAACTAATGGAGAACGGAGGGAGTAGTAATTATAAGAGTTGATAATAGATGCACTTAATATACTAAAGCTAGCCACCTAATAATCATTATAGAATCTATGACAACAAGCCTAAAGCTATAATTTGCATCTATTTATAATAGAAATTTACAATGAAGTTAGCATTTTTGGCCTTTTCCCATATTTTAAATCAAGGCATGCAACGCCCTATCACTACGAGCTGATCAAAAATCCTAGTGGCGGCACCATCATCTTTGTATTGCGCAAGAAATGGTCCGGAAACTTTCTTCGCCAATACGTGAAGTTACTTTCCCGAAGTGGACACGTTGTGGGGAGAATTCATCATCTGAGTCATATTTCACTCCCCCATCAACTCCTCCATGAAGAACTACTCCACAGTGGTCAAATGTCTACACCGTGATGCCCAATATGACAACGAGCACCACGTTCATGGAAGAACAAACCGCCCATCTAGCTAAGGTCATCAAGGGGATGACTACGTTCATACATGCTCAAGATCAAAAGTTGAATGATCTGAACAACAACGTAGAAAGCTTGAAAGGCGAGTCAAGTCATGCCCATGAGAAGGATTCTGAAGTGCATGAATATAATGATTCTCACCAGGAGAATTCGGGGAAGAACATCTCAACCTCTGGGGGCATGATCCCGATTGATCACCTCAAATACTTAATTCATCATGGGAACCATAAAGGGAAGATAAAAGGAAATCAATCTACTTACTCCTATGTTAAGCCATACACTTAAATGATCGAGGATCTGAAAATGGCCATTGGTTACCAGCCGCCGAAGTTCATCCAGTTTGATGGGAAGGGAAATCCATGACAACATGTTGCCCATTACGTGCAGATTTGCAATAATGCGGGAACAAGCGGAGATCATCTTGTCAAACAGTTTGTGTGTTCCTTAAAAGCAAAGCATTTGACTGGTATATTGATTTGGAGCCCGATTCCATTGACAGCAAGCAAGATATGGAACGTGAATTCTTAAATCGTTTCTATGAGTCAGTGTAGGACAATCTAAAACATGTTTATTTTTTTTAATGAACTATGCTAGTGATGAGATAAATTTGTGAAATTAGACATGTGAAAGTTTATTATTTTGTACTATTTTGTACTAAAATACTTCGTATGATTCATCTGCCTTTAATACAAGAAGACAACATTATTAAAATTTCTTTTTACCGATTCAATAAACTTCTATCTTCTGGGGTAGATTTATCTAGCTATATATAGTATCCCACTTATGATGCCAACTAATTAATTCTACTTAAGTTAAGGTAATATAATTGTGATTTCAATTTTAGATCAGATTACACTTCGACAATTACAATAGGTACATAATGCGTGAACATGTCAAACAAATTCTAATCATATACTAGATCAAACCACAATTAAAATTACAATTCGATCAATGCAAACGGGTTTTACGTAGTACGTAGTTAGTATTTCCTCTGTTTCTAAATAAGATCAACACTTCACTTTTCACTTTTACCGATGTATAACATTGACCATTGATGTATATATATAATTCTCTATTAGTGAAAAAGACTAATAAAATAGGATTTTGAAAATTCACAATCAAAAAGCAAAAAAAAAAAAATGAAAAAGGCACTACAAGAAAACAATTGTTTGCCTACAATTCAGAAACGGAAAACACAAAGAAAACCGTCTAATTTGACTAATTTAGAAATTAGTAAAGGTAGAACATATAGATAGTAACTACATTACTATATTTAGAAATTATGACTAATTTGCAAATATGATATCTGAATATGAAACAAATCACTATAAAATTAGAAATTCAAAAAGAACTATGTTATTATTGCCAAAAAGAATTAAGTTGATCGGGAATTATGAAGTACTTCAATTCAACAGTTTGGTAAATTGAAATTTGGAAACAGAATTATGTGCAGGAAAAATTTACAGATTCGATACGATTGAATTCAATTCAAATACTTCTTCATACGTACACGGAGCATAAAATTTCTATACAAATCCGTATAGTATGAATCTACGGTCACTCAGTTTTGACTTTTTTCAGGATGATTCTAATTGCTTAATTAAACCGCTACTCGAGTTCGGCAAACCGGACACGTCCGGTTTTTGCTCAGCCACTTAACTATGCATTTATGGTGAAACTTATGCGAACAAAACGGCCCTAACGGCGTGATAACGTCCCCTTCCTTGTACTCATCCAAACAGACGGAACAAACCTCCTTGTTAAACCTCTCCGTCTTCAAACGGGAAACCTCTGTTTCCGACAGCCCTGGCCCTGTTTCGATGGAGTCGCCGCCCATACTTTCCGGCACCGATCCGGAACTATAAAAAATCGGCTCGAAACGCCCCATCATTTCGGAAACGAAAATCACCCCATGAATCTTCTCCAGGACGGTGGACATGGACAATCCGAAACGCACATCACCGCCGACGCGAATCATGACAAGAGCGAACGCCACCATCCGGCGGGCGATATCGCCGGCGGAGACCGGGTTGACGGGGAAGACGGTGGCGAGGTCGTTGGAAATCCTAGATGCAGCGTCGTCAGGGGAGGAGAAAACGAGTTGAGGGTCCATGGTATGGTTGAAGGAATTGTCCCCAACCGGGACGAGCCGCAATTCCCCAGAAGGCATAACGAGAATGGATTTGGTGATCATTCTAGTACGCAATTCTCCGCGGGTCGGGTCGTCCGTGGCAGTTCCTTCCATGCGCGCGATTCTTAGCGCCGCCATAGCTGATGAGTGCTCCATCTTGCAGAGATCGAAAATAGGAAGTGTGAGATAATCAACGTTAATTGCTCTCTCCATCATTAGTTTCTCAAGCACGCGTATTTATATTGAAGTATTCCGTAAGAGATTATTAGAGTCCCAGTCCTAAGCTAGTTGATGTAATAATTTAGTCTCTTGGTCTCCATAATTTAGAAATGATGTTTCCTAAAATATGGGTGAACTTTTATTATTCTTAACCGCTTAGGAATCCGTTTGATAACAACACTAAAATCGGTTAAATCAATTCTTTCTGCTGAAGTTTATGAAAAATTGATGCGTGAAGTGATTGTATTGGTCGATTCTACTGATTTATGAAAAAATGATATTTAAATTATATTTTATTAATAAAATAAACAAAAAATTATATGAAAAAATAGCTGAAATGATCATCTACAGAAATTTCAGCCAATACAGCCAGAAAAGTAACTTCAACCTTACTTTTTCTTATTATTACACAATTCAGCGCGCGAAATCAAAAGTTACGGGGTTGGTTAAAAAGCTATCTGATAAGTCTGATAGGCCGAATAATAGAGTCACCAAACGGGCTCTAGAACATGGATTAAACGGTTATTAATACCTTATGGTAATTTTTTTTTCAAATTTCCATACATGAGACTAAAAATGATTATGATGACCATTACATACACCCCTTCCCACGTGACCTAGCAGTCTAGCACTAGAGTTACTAACGTTATATCCATAGTTCATCAATAAAAAAATGGGACCGGTCGTGAGGAAGTGTAATTAAGGGGTTCACTTGCTTTGCGCCCACTAAAATAAATATCACACAAATATTGATGATAATCCACTTATCCTTTATAATTTTGACATTTTTTTATTGTCCCAAATAATTTGGTCTTTTTTTATCAATCAAGTTATATTTCTTATTCTTTTTTCTCTTTTGTCAAAGCCCCTAACACACAGTTTTTTTAGTTTTATCTATTTTAAAGTTTTAATTGTTTTAATATTCAATTGAATTCATTAAAATAACCCAAATAATTGACATTGAAAACTTGGTATTTTGTATTAAAATACTATATATGTCGTCCCTTAAAATTTTGCCAACTTTTTTTTTATTGTCCAACGAACTAACTTTGTGACTTTCTTCTTTTTAAGTAAAGAATTTTTTATTACAATAAATTCACTCTCATCTGCACAAACTTCAATTACACATTTTTATTTTATTAATTCTCGTGTCAGTCAAAGACAACATTTTAAGGGAAAATGAGAGAGTTTTTTCTAAAGTAAGGATAGTTTTCAAACTTATTTCCCAAATATGGGTACTTTTAAACTTAGTTCCAAACAAGGGTATTTTTCGCCATGTCATCATCCCATCAATTCCACATCACCTTAGCTATTCCATGTCATTCAAATTAAGTGGATACGGTCATACGAAGTCTTTTTAATAAAATTAAAAACGGGACGTCTCCAAGTAGGGATGGAGCCAGAAAAATGTGTAATGAGGGGGTCAGAATTTAATTATATACAGTATTAAAGTCATGATAGTTATTATACAATAATTAAGTTAAATATTTCATATGTAGCTGAGATAAATGGTAGTTTAATGAGCATTTTTCGGTTAATGTATTGATATATGTAATGTATCATTATGTTCACACAACTAATGACTGAATAAGCTGTTTTATTTTTAAATATAAGAATATAATCAACGTTACACATAAAATTTTGCATATTTCGAGTTAAGATGGCACTGTTTTTTCCAGAAGTCATCACGTTGTACTTGTAATGAGTTAAGGGACCCACAATATATCAAATCGAAGGTATTTCAGAGCTCTGTATTCTTGAACTTTCAGGGGGGTCGACTGACAACCCTGACCCCCCTTTGTTCTTAACTTTGGAATAGACCACTTAGACCACTGCACTAAACACTTCAGATGGTACGTATCCTCTTTTTTTATGACTAGTTAAGTACCCGTGCAATGCACGGGAATAAAAAAATTTAAATTCATTTCATATCAAGATCTTATTTTGTAATTGTATCCTTCTAAAATGAAAATATAAGTAATACTCGTATTAGTGTATAGATAATTAAAGAATAGATAGTTCAGGCAATAAATTTAATTACAGGACTAAAATAAACTGATCTGATTAGAATACCCAACATAATGAGAAGTGATATTTTTTGACAAATTTTACTCTTTTCTCATCTAGAAATTCAATGATCACATGCATGATTAAATCCCATATGGCCATATGCGGACACTTTTAATCATAAATGTGTCTTCTTTCACAAAGCATACTCCCCACCCACCACATCTCATACATGTTTGTTTTTAATGGAACAGAGATGAGGAAATGGAAATCACTTTCAAATTTTGTAAAGAGTGATGCTCTTTAGAAAAAAGCAAGAAAAGAATGAATGGCTTTCCACTTACATGTTTGCTGATTTTATCTCCTTGTAGACACATAAGCAGGATTTACTTAGTATTGTTTAGAACTTTTGCATGTATTAATTTACAGAATTAACTTAGAAGGATTAATATAAATACGGAGTATATGTTAACAAAATATGCACATTTGGTGCTTTCTTACTTTACCCAATTATCCTTCATATGAACTCAGAAGAGTCTATATACCATCCTATATCGGTACATATATAGGTAGTCATTTTTTTACTGTGTTAATACATAAAATAACACGTTTTTATGTGTGTTTGTTAAAGTTTATCAACATGTTATACAATGAGATATACCTTAATCAACAAGTGTCAAAGTTTAACACTTTATCAACATGTTATCAACAAGTTTATCAACATGTTAAAGATATATCTCATTTCTTATGTTCATACGATGAGACCACCTTCCTCCTTCCACTTCAAATAATGAAGAATGTGCATATAAGCGTTAATTACTGAAATTAAATTTAATTTATACTGTTCAAAAAACTGAGGAAAACACGTAAAATCTTTCTTTCTCAAATGGGATTGGCTACCAAGTTGTGAGTGGGGCGGAATTTCAATTTATTGATCTTTCTATTAAAAAAAAAAATACAAATAGTCCCATTTGAGGAATTCTCCCTATAGTCCCTATAGTTTCACTTTGGCCGGTTGTATTTTAAACTTCAGTTATGATGGTTTATCTACTATAAACTATTGTTATGTTGTTAAACAATGAGTTTGTTAAACTATATTACAGAAACGAAGTTCAGCCCTTTTTATGGTGCTCTCTTGTTTATCTTAATGTGGTTGTTATTTTGCAATACATTTGATGTGCATTTCACAGTCAAGTTTGTTTATGAAACATATTTTAAGTGTAAAAACTAGGTCTTATTAACATATGTTGAGCTGGTTTCTGCTTTGCACTTTTTGTGTGAAAAAATCAGATCTTATTAACCTGGTTCGAGTCTCATCCCAATCAAGGATGTTGGCATTAACAAGAGCAGATACTATAAGAGGGGTAGGAGAATGTTCCCAAAAAAACTGGTTTCTACTTTGAAGCTTTTGACAGTTAAGCTGGTTTTGAAAAAAAAAGTTAAGCTGGTTTTGTCTTTGCATTTGTGTGTGTAAGGAACAGGTTTTATTAACATGTGTTAAGCTGTAAAAATAAGTTGTTGTTAACTTCAATTGAAGTGTACATATCAGTATCTGTTAACCTCAATTCAAGTTTAAAAAATCAGTTGTTATTAACCTCAAATCCAAGTGTAGTAATGAGTTGTTATTAACCTCAATTCAAGTGTAATAATCAGCTATTATTAACCTAAATTGAAGTGTAATAATCAGCTCTTATTAACCTCAGTTCAAGTGTAAAAAATAGCTCTTGTTAAACTCACTTCAGGCTTAAAAATCAGCCCCTTGTTAAACTATGTTGAAGTATGAAACTCGACTCTTGTTAAATTCAGTTTAAGTGTAAAAATCTGCTCTTCTTAAACTCAATTCAGGTGTAAAAATCAGTTGTTGTTAACCTGAATTGAAGTCTCTAAATTAGCTCTTGTTAAATTCAGTTCAAGTGTAAAAAACCAGCTCTTCTTAAACTCAATCCAGGTGTAAAAATCTGTTGTTGTTAACCTGAATTGAAGTCCCTAAATTAGCTCATGTTAAATTCAATTGAAGTGTAAAAAACCAGCTCTTCTTAAACTCAATCCAGGTGTAAAAATCAGTTGTTGTTAACCTAAATTGAAGTCTCTAAATCAGCTCTTATTAAATTCAGTTCAAGTGTAAAACCACCTCTTGTTTAACTCAGTTAATGTGTAAAAACCACATGTTGTTCAAATAAGTACAACTATAAACTATGTTAAAGTGTAAACAGCAGCTCTTGTTCAAGTGCCTTGAAGTGTAAACAATGATGTTGTGTATAAACCAGCTCTGGGCTATTAAAATCCAATCAAAACAAATTAACAATGCCAACAATACATGTCTCTCGTGTCATAACAATACCAAAGTAATACAAATTCAAAGTCATGAATACAAACACCAATCCTAACACATACACGACTTACTCGAATTAAAATAAACCGTAGCAACAAAACCCATGGTCACACCGTATCCAAATGCATACAACATCCTAAACTTTCTATTTTGCTCAGCCTGTGCTGGTAGTTGTATTCGAATATTAGTAATCTCAGTTCGAAGCACACACATATCTTCACCGCTTGAACAAATCATCCTCTTCACTTCATGTTTTCCATTGGAGTTTGGCAACAGGGTATGTATGCGAAGCTTTGAATTTGGCAAATCTTTCCAAAGGAAAGATTTTTTATAGGGAGAATTCCTCAAATGGGACTATATGGAAAGATTTTTTGTAGGGAGAATTCCTCAACTGGGCATGTATGCGAAGCTTTCATGTCATTTAGTTATTACTCCGTACTACATTTTTTTTAACTCCAACTGACAGATATAATAATTCACCAAATCATGTGCCATCATGCTTATAATAATGTCAGGGATACTATCATACCAACAATACTAATCCGAGATAGACACGTGTGCTCTAGCTAATGCATGTGCAACACGATTCGCAGATCATTTACAAAAAGAGCCAATAAAATTACTCTTATCTTTCAATAAATGCCTAATATCATCAAGAATGAGGAAAA